GCCCCCTTCTTAAGCTCCGCCACCTGGTCGAAGCGGGTCCCCGAAGCAACCCCTTGGCCACGCCAAAGTTCGCGCAGCTGCTCCACGCCGCCGCTCGCACGCACCTCGGCGGCGTGGTCGGCCACGTAGCGGCGGCACTGCGCGAGGAGCCGCCCGTCGCCCGTCGTGTGCGCCGCCTCGAGCAGCGGCACGGCGGTCGCCGGCGCGACGCTCTCCTGCAGCGCCTGCGCGCAGAGCAGCTCGAGGCGCGGCACCTGGTACATCTGCGCCAGCTCCCGCAGGTCGAGCGCGCGCTGCGCCCTGCCCTCCTCCTCGCCGAGGTCGAACTTGTCGGAGAGGAGGTAGTCGACGAGGGCGGTGAAGCTGGCGAGGTCGGTGTGGGACACTGTGACCTCGGCGGCGTCGCGCTCCTTCATGCCGATGCCGAACATGGTCCGAAAGACCGGGGACCGGGCGCAGAGGTTGTTTTTGCTCACGTTCTCGATGCGCTCCCGGTCGTCGCCGACCAGGAAGGTGACCTTCCCCTCTGGGAGGGAGGCGTCGCCCCGCGTCGTTGCAAAGTCGGCTCCAAGGGTCGAAGGCGGAACGACGATCGGGGCAAAGGAGGGAGGCGGAGGGGGCGCAGCCACGCAGACCTGGCGGAGGCCACCGTTGGAACTGACCAACAGCGTGCTGCCGTCCGGGCTGATGGCGACTTCATCTGGGCCGTCGAACTGCGCCGCGTCCCCCACGCCATCGGCGTTGCCCTCTGTGCCACTGCCCGCGAGGGTCGTCACTGCGCCAGTCGCCACCTCAACCCGCCGGATCTTGTTGTTGCTCCAGTCTGCCACAAACAGCGCGTTGCCGTCTGGGCTCATAGTGATGCCACTTGGGTTGTTGAACTCCGCCGCGTCGCCCACGCCATCAGCGTCGCCACGCTCGCCGCTGCCAGCGATCGTCGTCACCGCGCCCGTCGCCACCTCCACCCGCCGGATCATGTGGTTCTCCTCGAAGTCCGCCACAAACAGCGCGCCGCCGTCTGGGCTGATGGCGATGCCAGCTGGACAGCAGAACTGCGCCGCGTCGCCAACACCATCCGCGTCACCCATGTTGCCGCTGCCCGCGATCGTCGTCACCGCGCCCGTCGCCACCTCCACCCGCCGGATCTTGTTGTTGCTGAAGTCCGCCACAAACAGCATGCCGCCGTCCCGGCTTATGGCGATGCCAGATGGGTTGTAGAACTGCGCCGCGTCGCCCACGCCGTCCGCGTCGTCACCCTCGCCGCTGCCCGCGAGCGTGGTTACCTCGCCAGTCGCAACCTCCAGCCGCCGGATCTTGTGGTTGCTGTAGTCTGCCACAAACGCCGCGCTCCCGTCCGGGCTGGCAGCAATGCTGATGACTTCACTTGCCGGCAAGGCTGCCACGCGGCGCACGCGCCCGGCCGCCGAGACGTGCAGCAGCGAGTCCTTGGTCGCGACGTTCCAGGCGCCCGCGTGATCGCTCGCGACGCCAACCGACCCGAGCGATGCCAGAGGGCCATCCTCGCCCTCGAGCGCCAGCGTGGTGACCTGTCCGAGGACGCGCACGCCAAAGATGGGCGCCTCGAAGCCATCCGCGACCGGCACGGGCTTGTCCCCGTCACCGCCGCCGCCGGTGCGGGCGCGCTTGCGGGCAGCGGACGCCATTCACGCGCTTGTAGTATTCGGGACGCGCTAGTAGGGGCGATGCTCCATTTGGGCAATATACAAAACTCGTAACGTAGAGTCCTTACGTATACTAGCTTCTACCGCGGCCGACGGCGCCCAGGCGCCAGGGCCCAGCTGACAGAGACGTGAGCAGCCGCTGCGTGGTGTGTGCAGACGGAACCACGGAAGGCGCAGCGGGCAGAAATCTATGCAGGTAGTGGCAGGTATTGGCGCGGTGCGCGCACTCACAAAGGGGCCGCATCAGTCCGCTGCCACGCGCAGTGCCCCCTTCTTCAGCTCCGCCACCTGGTCGAGCGCGTCGCCGAGCAGCCCCTTGGCCACGCCAAAGTCGCGCAGCTGCTCCACGCCGCCGCTCGCACGCACCTCGGCGGCGTGGTCGGCCACGTAGCGGCGGCACTGCGCGAGGAGCCGCCCGTCGCCCGTCGTGTGCGCCGCCTCGAGCAGCGGCACGGCGGTCGCCGGCGCGACGCTCTCCTGCAGCGCCTGCGCGCAGAGCAGCTCGAGGCGCGGCACCTGGTACATCTGCGCCAGCTCCCGCAGGTCGAGCGCGCGCTGCGCCCTGCCCTCCTCTTCGCCGAGGTCGAACTTGTCGGAGAGGAGGTAGTCGACGAGGGCGGTGAAGCTGGGCGAGGTTCGGAGTGGGGATACCGTGGACTCTCGGCTGGCGTTCGCGCTTCTTCCATGCGGAATCCCGAACATGGTTCCGAAAAGACCGGGGGAACCGGGACGCAAAGG